CATCATATAACTATAACACCTTAGAAGACTATTCACGTGATAGCTCTGTAATAACAAACTAATAAAATCTCATCAGCTAAGGAAATAGCCTTAATAACAAAATATATATATATATATATATATATATATAAACTAAATGTTTCTTCTAGATAAAAAAACTATTAATCAAAGTTAAAGCTTTATCTAATTCAGTAATTTGTGCTATATCAAGATCACCAATAAAGCAATAACATCCTTCTCTATGAATATAATTAAACTAAAATAATGTTGTAAATATATGTTGATATGCAATAATCGTCGCTTAGTTTGTAAAAACATGAGCAAAAGTTAAAACTAATATATAAAATAATTTAACTAATATGTAACTTATTTATATTTTTTTCCAATAGCACATTAAAACATATTTTATTTAATTAATTTTCAATAGAAATTAAGTACTCAAAGATTTACTATACGAGCGCGTTTTATAATTTATCTGACTTAATCACTGAGCAAATCCAGTGATTGAGTCAGATAAAATTATAAACTTTCAAAGCCTGAAGTCTGGCTTTTTCCTTGGCACCATTCATATTAAATACTTTTCAAAAGAGAGTCTATCACTTATCACGATTGTCTAAATTTTGACTTGTTCAATGCCTGGACTGGTTTGAGGAACCTTGGTCTGGTTCACAGTTTGCAATTTGAGGTTGAATTCAAATTAAACAAATTCGAAATTTTGGATAATTCGATTTAATGATATGATAAATTTGAATGCAAAATTTTTTTAATATTATAAGATAATAAAATTATTTCCTTTCTCCTTTCACACTTAGGTATTTCTTTTGTTCTTAATGTTTGTTGGTTCTTTGCGTGATTTCTACTATTTAAAATAACCAAATGAGCAAAGTTTCGATTCAAATTCGAATTTACAAATTTCAAAAACCAAATATTCAAATTTATAAAATAAATTCGAATTCAATCTCAATATCCAATATTAATGTATTGCAACAAAAATCCTCTGAGAAATAATCGCATACCATAAATCTGATCATGATTATGAAGATTATGATCGGCTTTTTTTCATTAATAATCAGACAAAACTATATACATAGAGTAAGTGGCATGCCACAATAAAATTATATACAAATATTAATAAAGTTTTATATATGGTTAAATCTGCGTAATTTTACTAATAATGTCATGCCTAATAGGTTTTGAAAATTTTGGCATGGCATGCTACTCACACTATATACGTATAAATATACAGTAGAATCTATTCTTAATAATGTATTATATATATATGCGAATAGGCAATAATTGAATGACTATGCTATATAATTGTGAGTACAGTAATCGGGTAAATTTTGGTTGTGATAACTTGATATTCTGGTGATCCCAATTACTGTAATAAGTTTTCTACAACCACATAAGTCCTTAATCCTAACTCTTATCACACAATGGACGAAAAAGTTATTAAAATTATAATATTACTGTACAAATTTTTATTATTGATCTTGATCAATTATAATTAACCTAATTCATTAGATGCTAATTAATATATATCACACTAGCCCAACTACTTCTGCCATTAAACATAGATGATCCGAATTAAATTTATAATTTGGTGGAAGCGGCGTTAGTTCTTCTTCCAGTGGCATTTTTAATAATTTTGTAACCTTAACTTTGGTTTTGATGTTTTTATCACAAATTTCACTATTTGGATTTTCATCATTTTGGCAAAAATGAAAAATATAGTCTAAAGTTCCTTTGAAATGTAGTCCATAATTTGTAAATTTTGGTTCAGAATAAATAGTATTTTCGGGATCTATTGAGTTCAAATGCTGTGCATACAAAGATACGCAGCATGGAAGACTTGCGAAATTTGAGAGTAGTTTAGGAAGAGTTGGTTGAAATGTTAAATCGGTTGGTGTAGATTTCTCAACGCTCGTTGATGATGATATCTGCTGTGAAATTGGTTCAACAGGTAAATTAGATGAATTTGTTAATAAACCAGTGTCATTTTTACTTATTGCATCAGTGTTTTCAATTATATCTTTCTCTCCAAAGGATCTCATGGAAGCATCCAATATCGAAACTTCCTCTACAGTCAAAGGTGTGTTATTTACCATCAACTTGTAAGTAGGATCTGTTGGTGTAGAATTAAAATCTAACAATAATAAATAATAATAATAATAATAATAATAATAATAATAATAATAATAATAATAATAAAATTAAAATTTGTAGCTTAAAATCGTATAACTCAAATCCATCTTAATTTGCACTTACCACCAGCCAATATTGCCTCGAAACCAAATTCCTCTTTAACCTTCATTAAATTTTCGCAAAGTATTAAACATTGTCTTGCACGTTCATACATTGATTGAGGTCTCCAGTAAAGATGAGTTGTTCCTATAATTAGTCCCGAATTTGAGAAGTTTAATTCATCAGAGGGTGTCTCACAGTACTTGAGTGAAACAATAAGGCCTATACAATTTGTTGTCATAGTAGGTACCCCAACCTTGTCAAATTCGATAGTAAGATCTCTTAATTTAGTAAATTTCGAACGTTTCCAAATTATGCAACAACCTAAAATAAAATAAAATATATAAATAAAATTACAATAACATAATATTGTATGAATCTATGATATTTTCATACCATGTCTTTTACCGATTACAGCGAAACATGTATCATACCCAACACTTTCGAATTCAGGTTTAAAAGTATCATAATAATTAGAATAGTCCATTTCTTGAAAACAAGCAACGTCGGGTTTATAATATAATATCTCTTTTAACAAACGAGGCCGACGGTTTTTCCACTTTAGTGCGTCACCCGATTCCGGAAAAAATTCTCTGCGGACAAGAGATTGAGCAAGGAGCTATATTGATTTAAGAAATTTAAATGAGTATACTATAAAGGTGAGAATTTAAAACGTGAACATTAAATTAAATTGCATTTACGTTGTAGGTCATAATTGTGATTCCGTCTTGATCAGTTTCCTCGACATCTGAAAATAAGACAGGAACCATTTGTCGCAAAATAGGCTCACTTTGAATTTCTTGCGTTTGTTGCTTGTTCTGTTCCACTTGATCTTTTTTGCGTTTTTCTTTTTGCACCTTTTTTGCCATCCTTTTACGTTTTTTAGGTTGTTGATCTAACGAGTTATGTGTTTCTTCTGTTGGAAATACTTGCGATTCTAGTTCGTTATGCATCTTGTTTTTACGATAACGATAACGATAAAGATTGATTTCTTAAATAAATGCACGTGAATGAGTTTATACATTATTGTATTGGGTCAATTACTGAAATATTGATATATGCCATATATCAACTGAATTGGTTAGCAACGAAATCAACATGTTAAAGGAAAGAATTAAACATGCCGTAGAAACTATTTCAGAATAGATTCTACCTAAGTTTTGGCATTCTGCATTGCCTAAAGTCGAAATTCATGCTAAAGCCAAAATTAATGCCAAAAAGTGCCGAAAGCCTAAAACATTGGCAAAATTGATTTCATCATTATCAGTTATAAAAAAAATACTGTAGCCAATAAAAAATATCCAGTACTGTATTTTAAAATTTTTCAATTCAAAACTATGTCTTCAGATTTTATTAGATTCATTATGCTTCTAATATATTTAAATTGCGGCTTTTATGATGGCATTTATATAGATTTTAGTTTCGCTGTTTTCATTCTAACTGAGACACCTGATTAAAATCTGTATTACAGTATAAAAACTTGTCTTAGAATGAAAACAGCTGTAATTTAGGTTATGACATTTTACTGCATTTTGGGTTTAGGTTTCGGCTTTGTTATGGCATGAATTACGGCTTACGGCTCTATTTCTACTAAAAAAACTACACCTTTCACTTAATATACGTAACTCAAAATTTGACATATGAAATCTTAAAATAATTCCTTACTTCTTTCGCTATTTAACCCTAACCCTAAAGTAATAAATAAAATACATATATTATTTTGATTCTAGATTACACCGAATCTTACGTTTACATATAGGGTAGCGCTACGAATATTTATCTTAATATTGTTATCTATTAAAAAGTAAACATGATCCGCGTTAAAGACATATTTCTCAGAAGTTTTTGTGTCACATAATGTATTTTCTTATTTTTTATTATGATTACTAACATTAGCGGCTTCAATGGTCTTGTTAAGAATGAAAACTTGCAAACACTTATTTGTATTTTATTAACATATGGTATTAAATTTATATTGCTTTGTGCAAAATAAATATCTAATATTTATTTGTTATGATTTTTTTCTTTTATAATTTAAGGAGAAGCCTGCCTTTAATATATTTATGCATTAAGTCAATATATTTATGTTTTATTTTGCCAATTATGCCATCGGTTAGTTACGACTCTCTGTCATTTTTTTTTATTACTATCTTCTTCATTAAAAGAATAAACGACAAAATACAGAGCGTTGTCGAATTTTTATATACATTTTTTTTTTTAACCTGTTAAATTAATTTAGTTGCGTGAAATTAATTGTATATAATGAGTATGTCAATTTGAGAGAATAATATGTTATATATTCTAAAAAGTTATTAATGATTCGTTGCATCGTCTTGCTGAGTTAATTTTTCTTACCTATTGTCTGGACTTCTTTTGCTTCATTCTTTTATAAACTATCTATTTTTGCTCTAATACATACAAATTCTTGCACTTTAAAAATTTATCAAACAGAAAATAGAAATTAAATATTCAAAATAGCAAATTTGTTTTTTTCTTTTATTTAAATTATTTTATCCACTATTGATGTAAACTTAGTTAATAAAAGGCCATAGCTGATAGGAAAAGCTAATAGCAAATTACTGTAGCGTAGGTTGATTGCATCATCAACCCAGCATATATTCAAATTTGACATAGAAATTGAGGAAAATGCCGACTGACAAACAATGAAAGTCCTAAAATATAAATGCTATTAGGAATCGACTTTTACATTATAAATTAATGAATTACGAAAATATTGAATTTTTTTTTACTTAATCAGGAATATGAAGATCAATGTTTTTAGAGGCAGCATATTCTAAATAATTATAACATGATAAATAAAAAAATAATGCATTATTTTTAAAATACTGTAAATACCTTTAATAGCAATTGATATTCTTTGCGTACTAATAATTTTACTAGTATACATTGTGTCTGGATGTTTTGGTGTGCTAATTGGTAATGTTTTGACTATT